TCCGAACGTCGTAGGCATTTAAAAACCTAAAAAATTTTTTTGATCCTTCAGATTCGGATTCGGATTTGTCGGATACGAATACGGATACGGATTCGGATACAGATACAGATTCGGATTCGGATTTTCAGATACAGATACGGATTCGGATTTTTCAGATTCGGATCAAATCGGATTCGGATTTGTCGGATTCGGATCGAATCAGATTCGGATTTTTTCGGATTCAGATCAAATCAGATTTTGCCCAAATCCGATCCGATCCGATCCGTGCGGAACACTAATCTCTAGTAAAAGGCTTGAACAATATTATAAAACAATATCATATCAAGATTTTACAATTCTAACCCATGAAGAAGAGATAGGAAAATTTAAATCAAAAATATCTGATTTATAAAAACAGCTTAGGGTTTTACAACAGGATAAAAAAAAATAAAGATGGGGTTGGGTCTATTCAAGATGGCTGAATCATAGAACTCGAAAATAAGGTTGGGAGTCTTAAAGCAAAGATCTAAATTCTCATAGATAAAAAATGTTTTAGATATAGTAACAGTTAACCTTATTGCAAATATTAATAGAGGATTAGATCAAATTAAAAATTACATTAGAGGGGTTAGCACACCTATGCAAAATTCTACCAATGTAATAGATGGTATCAGAGACTCGTTAAATACTATTCGGGTTTCTTTACAAAATATCACAGCTGAGCATGATCAATATCAGAACTTATTACATGATTTAATTCAGCGAGTAGATAATCTTAGGAATCAGTTTACTAATAGTGGAAATCAGAATTTATGGTTACAACATTTATTAAATGAATCTTGAGTTCAGACTGAAAAAACTGTGAGAGAAAGGGATGCAGTTATAAGGGAAAGAGATAATTCTCAAGAAGAGCAGGACTTAGCTATGCTAACCTATAATAATGAAAGACAAGAATCCCGTCATTAGCGTTTCTCATATCAGGATAAAGATAGACGTGTTCAAGAATTATTATGAGAAAATTCAGCATAATACCTGACAGTTACAAACCAATACCCAAAATTAGGTGAATAGAATGATAGTTATTATAGCAGAAAAACAAATTCACATTTGTGAATTATTATGTGAAAAGTTTGTATTTCAGCTAGTGATTAGGCAAAGAGACCAGAATATTTTAAATTTACAGGAACAAATTTTAGCGCTTCAGAATAATCCACCAGAAAATATGGCCGCCATAGAATATGCTATACAATCAGTAATAACACGTCTTACTAATATTCTAGACTATGATATACAAGAACCATCAGATATATATTATCAAGCTTAGAAATGCAAATAAAACAGTTCGCTCCTTAGCAGTGGTTAGTTTTGATGCGATAATAAGAACCAATCTTATGAAAAGTAAGATGTCTGGCAGATTCCATTCTGTCACTGCACAGAATCCATATAATGCTAATGCAAATATTGCTACAGAAGCTGAATTCCTAAATTGGTTGTAAGGAAAGTATCGGGAGGTAATGATTGGCATCAATCAGGCAACCTTTAAAGTGCTTCTAAGTAAAAAGTTTTTCTCACATAATACATCAGATACTTATGAGAAAAGAATTAAACCATTTGTGCAAGGCATACCATTTGCTGATGTATTACTATATATTTATGACCATTTACCTGATAATTTAGAAATGAGGATTAGGATTGCAAATCCTGTTGATTTAGGCACTTTTTTTACAGAATTAAAAAATAAATGGCTAGAAGCTGGAGGACAAACAAGTATTCAAATCCAACCCCATTTCAAGCCAGTTCTCAGGGAGTTGCTTCAGCTGAGATTGAAAAGTTAAATTTCAAAATAGCTTCTTTAGAAGCACAAATAGCACAACTGTTTCAGATGCATTCACAAGAGAATATCCAAAATAATGATGCTTTAGATAAACTGTATATTCTTATAGAGTGTTTAGGGCTATCAAGTGGTATATCAAAAGATTTTACATTTTTAGATAAATATATTACTGATGAACTTATAAAAAGATTGGGCGTTATCGAAACTCACTTAGCTGAATTTTCTGAAAAATATACTGAACCATCTCGGCATCGATATTCAGAATCCTCAAATAGGGAGTGAAAGAACAATTAGGATAAATCGAAACTCATTTAGCTAAACTTAACAAAAAAGATACCAGAGGTGTCAAATCATTCTAGCGTCAACATTCAGAATCCTCAACCTCTAATATTAAAGAACTGGAAAAAAGATTAGGAAAATTAAAGCCCTTTTAGCTAAACTTGCCAAAGATTTCAAATCCAAGAATGGTTGAGTTCATATGGCTACAGTAGATGAGCACTCCAATTCTGATTTTTCTAATAATAACATGTCAGAGTCTGAAGATGATGGTTTTAATTCCAATGATTCTTCAGCTGAATCAAACTTTAAAAATCGTGATCTTAATGTTCTTATAAGTCATGGAAAAAAAAAGTGAAGTATACTAAGCCTAATGGACAGAAAAATAAGTCCTCATGCTCTAATGTTTTTAACTAATCCAAGCCTCATAATGTAAAACAGAATGAAAATTCACCCACCACCCATATTGTACTATCAGAAAAAAATAACTAAGGTAAGCGAGTGTCTTTAGAAGAAACTATCCGCAAAATTATTTGGAATGAACTTGAGAATTTTCTCCTATATATTATTCAGCAGACTAAAAAATCGGATGAGAAGAAACTAGAGCCATCAGATGAGAAAGATGTTTTAGATGATATTATGGAGATAGACTTTGTTTGAAAGAAAGAACCAACTACAAGCATTGCATCTATAAAGTGCAAGATTAGACATTTAAAAATCCTGGCTATGGTACTGAACTCTTGCTTTGAAATTGCTCTCATAACAGAGGATATTGTCATGTGTATAAGGGCTGTCATCAATAAATCCATAAAGTATGACCTTAGTGATATTGTTACTGTATCAGTTGAATCTATTGGAGTTGTTCACAATTTACCTATAACCTTAGCTTCAGGATTTACTATATATAAAGATTTTATAGTCATAAAATACCGTATACTCTCAAAAATAAGCACCCTTTTTTATTATAGGAGTGCTTATTTTTGGGAGATTTTTTAAATAAAATTTTTTCTCTCTTTAAAGCTGCATTTTTAGGTTAATAAACTTTATCAATGATTGAAATGATCGTCTGATTAATTTTGATGATCTTGTGAAATGAAATGATATTAGTAGCACGTATTGCGTGAACTTAAATCTGTTTTAAACTTGTTTGATTTTTCACAAATGCCAAAAGTTGTTAAGCGTAACCGTAATGATTATTCCATTAAACAAAAAAAAGAAATTGTTGAATATGCGAAACAAATGGGAAGAAATAAAGCGGCAAGCCATTTTGAACTTGACGCTAGTATGGTTGGGAGATGGGTAAAGGCAAGTTCAGGCTGGACTGAAGTAAACCAAAACAGCAAGCGAGTTGGTTCAGGTCGAAAACCTTTCTATCCTGAAGCTGAAAAAAAGTTGTATGACTGGATTATTGGACAAAGAAAGCAAGGTCTAGCAGTAACTTATGCAATTGTAAAGGTTAAAATGCTAGATATTTTAAAAAAAGATAATGTAGTATCAGCAGTGGCAGCAACAGTAACAACAGTGGCAGTAGCAACAATACCACCAACAACAGCAATGGCAGCAGAGAATTTTAAAACATCTGATAAATGGATGTCTTCATTTATGAAAAGAAATAAACTGGCTTGGCGGAGACTTACAAGGGTTTCTCAAAAACTTCCTGTACAAACTGAAGAATTATTGGAAAAGTTTCGTCAATTTATTATCCAACTTAGGATTAAAAATCCTTTGAATTACTTAATATTCTCAATATGAATGAGACTCCTGTATGGTTTGATATGGCCGGAAACTTTACAATTGGTCAAAAAGGGAAAAAAACGATTCATATTCATGCAACAAGCAACGAAAATAATTGATTTACAGTTGTTTTAATATGCTCTGCAGGTAAGAATTTTTCAATAATTTTTTGTAAAATTTTATGATATTCTAAAGTAAATCTGAGGTTTTCAAGTCATTTAGATATTCAACTTCAATTCCAATTTTTCTTATTAGCGACTCTACTTAAAATACTAAAATTAAACTTATTTTTTAATACCAATAGATGGAAAAAATATCCTCAGATTTGCATATACGATTAGCAAGTAGAGAATGTATTCCTTCTGGTTAGTATTCTGCAAAAAATCTGATTCAATCCGAAACTGATTCAGATCTGACAAATTGGATCAAATTGGATTTATCGGATTTGAATCAGATTTAGATCCAAATTTTGATTTGATTCGATCTGTCAGATCCAGATCAGATTCGGATTTAGATTTGATTCAATCTGATAGATTCAGATTTGCATTCAGATTCGATTTGACGAATTTGGATTTGAATTCAAATCCGATTTGTTGTATTTGAAATAAAAAATGCCACCCTGAAGTCAAACGCGGCATTTATTATTAACAAAATTTAATTTTTAATAATAAAATGCCACCTGAAAGTCGGACGCAGCATTTATTATTAAAAAAATTTAATTTTTAATAATAAAATGCCGCTCGAAAGTCAGACACAGCATTTATTATTAAAAAATTAATATTTATTAATTGTTAATAACAAAATGCTATCCTAAAAGTCGGAGTCAACATTTATTAATAAAAAATTAATAAAATTAATTTTTAATAATAAAATGCCATCCTGAAAGTCAAAGGCGGCATTTTTTATTAAAAAAAAATTAATGTTTAATAATAAAATGCCGCCCCGAAAGTCGGATGTGACATTTATTAATAAAAAAATTGATTTTTATTAATTTTTATATTAAAATGCCATCTTGAAAGTCAGACGCGGCATTTATTATTAAAAAAATTAAAATTTAATAATAAAATGCCACCCCGAAAGTCAGACGTGGCATTTATTAATAAAAAAATTAATTTTTATTAATTTTTAATATAAAAATGCTACCCCAAAAGATGGAAGCGTCATTTATTAATACAAAATATAATTTTTATTATTTTTTATATTAAAATGCTACCCTGAAAGTCAGATGCGGCATTTATTAATAAAAAAATTTAATTTTTATTAATTTTTTATATTAATATGCCACCCCAAAAGTCAGATGCGGCATTTATTAATAAAAATTTAATTTTTATTAATTGTTTAAATAAAAATGCCACCCCGAAAGACGGATGCGACATTTATTAATAAAAAATATAATTTTTATTAATTTTTTATATTAAAATGCCACCCTAAAAGTCAGATGTGACATTTATTTAATTTTTATTAATTTTTATATAAAAATGCTACCCCGAAAGACGGATGCAGCATTTATTAATAAAAAATTTAATTTTTATTATTTTTTATATTAAAATGTCACCCCGAAAGTCAGATGCAGTATTTATTAATAAAAAATTTAATACTTATTAATTTTTTATATTAAAATGCCGCCCGAAAGTCAGATGCAATATTTATTAATAAAAAATTTAATTTTTATTAATTTTTATATAAAAATACCACCCAAAAAGATGAATGCGGCATTTATTAATAAAAAATTTAATAATATTAATTTTTTATATTAAAATACCGCCCCAAAAGTTGAACGCGGCATTTATTAATAAAAAACTTAATTTTATTAATTTTTTATATAAAAATATCACGTACGACTTTTGAGGCGGCATTTATTATTAAATAAATTAATGTTTAATAAAAAAATTCTGCTCTGAAAGTCAGATGCGGCATTTATTAATAAAACATTTAATTTTTATTAATTTTTTATATTAAAATGCCACCCCAAAAGTCAGACGCAGCATTTATTATTAAAAAAATTAATTTTTATTAATTTTTTATATAAAAATGCCAATTCAAACATCAGAGGCGAATTTTTTAGTAAAAAAACAAAATTGTTGTTTTTTTTTAACATTAAACGCCATTCCAAATGTCAGAGGCGGATTTTTGTTAAAAAAACAACAAAATTGTTGTTTTTAACATTAAAATGCCTTTGTGAACATTAGAAGCGAATTTTTGTTAAAAAAATTTTTTGATCTGTTGGATACGGATACGGATTTGGATTTATCAGATTCAGATACGGATTCAGATTCAGATTTGTCAGATTCAGATCGAATCAGATTTGGATTTTTCAGATTCGGATTAAATCAGATTTTGCTCAAATATGATCCGATCTGATCCATGCAGAATACTACATCTGATATATTTATCTGGTTTCAGAAAAATGGCTGGATGGATTCTGAATTGATGAAGCAGTACATTGATTATCTTAATAAAGAAAAGAATAATGATAGATCTAGAACACAAATGTTAATGGTCTATGATTCCTTTAGAGGACATTTAGAAGGATCGGTTAAGGAAATGTTTAAAGAAAATAATTATGACTTAGCAGTCATTCTGGATGGCTTAACCAGTATATGTCAACCACTTGACATAGCTATTAATAAACCATTTAAAGATCATCTTAAAAAAGAATAGCATTTATAGATGGCCAATGGTGATACTGGTCAAACTGCTAGAGCTAATCTTTGACGCGTTAAGATCGGTGATGTGTTTGGATGGGTAAAGCGATTATGGAAAATAATTTCTGATGAGATTATTATTAATTCTTTTAAATCTTGTCATATATCAGATACATTAGATGATTTAGATATTAGTGATAATGATAATATAGAAGGTTCTGATAAAGAAAATGTTAGTGACGATGATATTGAATAGCTAAAATTATCTTTTATTTCTTTTATTTGTAATTACAATAATTCTTACAATAATTCTTAATAAAATCTATTATAATTTTGAAGGGTTGCTTAATTTTAGTATATAAATAAATGTGAGAATACTTATTTTCGAGAGTATATGGTATTAAATAATTACTTAACATAACTATTTAAAGATGACTAAATATTGTAAAAAACTAATATGTTATAAAAAAATAAATTAATTATTTGTTCTGTAATGGTAGTTATGTTTATATTTGATACATTCATATTTGTTACATATTTAATTTATTGGTTGTATGAAAAAAATTTTACCAAGGTGTCACAGAAAGGTAAAATTTTCATAAGATTTTTCGAAATCAGAGAGCTAACTTTACTAAAATAAAAAAAAATGTAAACAAAAATATTTGCATGATCCATAAAACTATAAAAATAAAAAAATTATTAAACGAACTGTATATGATATTTGAATATATCACGTGATAAGCACTATCATTATATTTTGGATTTATTGAGTTAACGATAAACCAATTAAAATATATATAACAGATCAATCAATTAAGAGGTTTCATAAAAAATGTGATTGAGATTAAGCTTCAATCTCAGAAAACAGTAATCTTAATCTCAAGTTGATAATCCAATCCTAATCTAGTTCCCAATCACGTGTGTTTTGAAGTTTTACAAAGAGCCATATTATATTTATAATAATTGTAGTAAATGATAAAAGATATAAAAATTTCAAAATAATCTTTGAAACTGATAAAGGAATAACTTATTAATGGATAAAATCTAAAATAAGAAGAGATGAAAAGATAAAATTGAAATAATATATATTTAAATCAATAGAAGTTATAGTTTTTATTTCAAATAATGTTCGCCAAATTTGATACAGTCATATAAGATGAAACCAAAGTTATCTGAGTGAAAAGTTACAGATTGAGAATATGGTCACACTCAAATAGTTTTTTTAAAAATTCATAAATGAGTCATCCAAGTTTATCGTGAGATAAATTAAATTGCAGTGCAGGTATATCATAATCTTTTTAAAAAATAAAATTTCTTTTTAAAATCAATATTTGCATAATACTTTGAATCCCCTAATAATTCAGTAAAAATAAAGTTATCAGTTGCTGAATATTGTATTTTTTAGTTAATAAAAATAGTTTAAAAGAATATAAACTAGCTAAATAAAAGCTCACTGTAAAATCTACATTTTTATAATATAAGTATTTTAAAGATTATTGAGTCAAAATTTTATATCTATTTGAAAGGAATTCATTTTGAAATTTTGTCATCATAAACAAAATATTATAAACTGTTTAAACTTTAAATTCACATTATTGATAGTAATTTTACATGTTCTCTAATATTACTTTGAATGTCATGAAAGATTTTGAAAATCAATTTTTTATTATTTGTAAAATATTAATTAATTTAATTTATCCAAATTTAGAAAAATTAATCTGTAAGTATATGAAGTACTTCTAATGTAAAGTATTATAGTAGAAGTACAATGAAAATTTACAAAGTTATAATATCTTCGAAGTAGAAGTACTTCAAAGGTTTACTGAGTTGTAATATCTGTGAAGAATTTTCATCATAATATTTTGTGATTATAACCTTTAGAGTAATTCAATAAAGATGTAAATATTATGAGAGTTTATTCATGTACAGAAAGGAATTATCTGCGAAGTATTCCTGACAAATTAGTACTCTAAAGTTGTGGTTAACTTTATTTGGCAAGTAATTTTACTAACGCTTTCTTACTAAGTATTTATGAAAGTCATTATATATTATATTTAACTGAGAGCTGAGCCTTTTTTTGCAGTTAAATTTTTTTATCAAGAAAAAATAATAAAATAATAAAAATAAACAAATATTGTATCTTAAAACAATAGTTAAGATAATTATTAAATTATAAATTAATTTCATTACATATATATAGTTGTAAAGAACAATTTAGAAAAATTCCAAAAAACTTGAAATTAAAATTAAGGAATTAGAGGAAAATAAAAAGGGGTACATTTACTGTTCAAACATATAGAAGAATTGATTAGAGAGCGATGAGAGGTAACCAAAGGTAATCTAGAAATTTTTATAATTTAGAAGAAAGATTATAGAGCTAACCAAAGCTAATCTTAGAAATATTAGTAATTTAAAAGGAAAGGTTAGAGAGCGAGAAAAGCTAACCAAAACCAATAAAGAATTTATTAATAAATTGGTTGGAAGGAAAATCAGAAACCTTGAATCAATTATTTCAATTATTTTTGATGAATATGATTGATAGTTTAACTATCACAAATACATATAAGGATGACATATTAAACACTTTAGGTGGATTGCAAAGGTTCAAATAACAAATAACTTTACCTAATTCCTTATAAATTCTTAATTGTGAAACTCTCCTATTATAAACTTATTAACTTGCCTGACTTTTTAATGGAATTCTATACAAAGATAACTTTAACTAATTATTTAACAAAACTCGATTGTTGTGAAACTCAAATCATCAGCTTATCAACTATACTCAACTCCTTGACATATCTAAATTGTAATAATGCTACAATAATATTCAACACAAACTTTGTATCACTTATACCGGGTTAATTACCTAGAAACAAATATAAAAAAAACTAAATAAATAAAAACTAGCCAGTTGATTTCACATATTCATATTATTTTATATAAAATCACACATGATTTGCTTATTAAAGTGATTAAACTACATTACGTAATAATAAGCAATTTTTATTTCAATAAACCTACATCTACTTTCTTTTCTTTCTGTTACACATTTCAACATTTTATCTCTAGTGCATATTTATTTATTTCTTTACACATAATGATCTCAAATGAAAGTTATTAATAAAATTATGATTCACGTGATAAGGAAAACGAGCTTTGCATTTACATTAGTTGTAACATTTGAAACCTGAAAAGAACTCGAGGTTCAACTAAAACGATATGCATTGTAAGAATTTTTTTATAAAAAAAACAACAGTTGGGTGTGGTTTGAGTCAAGATGAAATAAAGGTTTAACAGAACAAAAATAAAATTAAATTAAACGAAGAATTATGAATGTACTTATTCTTAAAATCATATGTCGTTAATCTTGAAATTAAAGAAATAGGGAAATTTTCCAAACAAATTGTCATTGGCAAGTGTGACAAAACCTAAAAAGGTAAATTATATTGGTATAACTTCTGCTAAACTTGAACACAATAATGAAATGGCTCGTAATTTTGGAAATTTACACAGCCAATGCTTAATGACGTTGAATTTTATGTGAAGCATAGGACAATTAATGCAAGACAAGAATATCTATCATTACGTGCAAAATTTCCTAATAATCTGATTTTTAAAAATAATTTATATAATATTATAAGGTTAGGCAAAAAGATACAATTAAAATGATGCTGTAAATCTTTCTGAATAGTTCTTTGAATTTCGATTATCTGAACAAGATCGCATGTTAATATTATTCACCTGATCAAATTTTTTATTTCATGGCTAACAAAAAAAAATTGTTATAATATGGTTTTATGTTTATTTCTTATTGTCGATAATAATATTTATAATAAATTACTGCAAAAAAAATACATATTAAATTAAAAATCAAATGAATTTGATTTCTTGGACAAGGTATTTTTATCTAGCTTTTTAATATATTTGATAACCTTTTAGATCTCCTTTTTGATTTTCATATGATTTATAATGTGTAATTAAAATAAATTTATTTTTATAAAGGAGAAACCTGATTATTTTGCTCATTTTAACATAGAGGATCACACTGTTAATAGGAATGAAGCTTCTCAGTATTCACTTCTATAAGTTCTGAATACAATATAACGTGACTTTGTCAATTAGTTTATTATATGTAAATATACAATTTTAACCTAATGCTAATTTTTCCTTAAATACTCTATTATTTTTTAGGCTCAAAGTAATTAATTTTTGTAAATTAGATAATCCTCGCTTATTATTTACAAAGTCTCTTAACTTCTAGTTTACTTATTTTAAATTCTTATTTTAAGAATTGGTATTTTCAACCAGTAACACCCATTCACGAACTGATTTAAAGTTATATTGAAAAAAAAAAATATATGAGTGAAGCGAAGCTTGTTTAAAGACAAGTATGACTTTTTCAAATGTAAATTTAGCAAGTACACATTTTATATTTACTTATATAATAAAAGTATATCTTATGAGAAATTCGATGATCTATTTAGAAAGATAAAGTTTATCTCTTACAAAATTTAAGAAACTATGATGATACAGAAGAATATCATATTTTTCACGTATTACTCTCGATCTTTGACTACATCAAAATTGATCATATACTGTATACAGATCTGTTGGATCTTTCTGATCAATGGACCGATGGAATACTTTGCTATTAACATAAGTTTTTTTGGTAACCATATAACATTCATATAAAATTCTTATTGTAAGCATATTTTATATTAATTAGTAAAATGTCTGCTATTATAGTTGAATATATATTAAAATATTACATCATATACAATTATAACATATATATGAATATATATTAAAATATTATGTCACATATAATTACAATATGAATATCAACATGTATATTAATATAATTATAATAACAATTTACTTTACATTATAATATGTATATTATAACAATTACGATATTATTTATAATATGTATGTTGATATTAGTATTATATTAATAAAATATTCCTAGTATATAATTAAATAGTAAAATTCGTTTAAAATATATTCTTTACTATTATTATCATGTAAATCTTTCAAACAAAGATTTATACATTTATGTACAAAATGTACTTTAAATTGCCAATCAACAATTATTAAAGGATGAAGATGAGACCATAAAGTGTCATTACTGTCTTGCTATCCTAAACTGAAAAACCCGTTGCAAAATCAATATTTCCATTTTTGTAAAACCAATCAACTAATAGAAAGGGATTGATATGTCCATTATCATCTTTGTGGGTTATAATCGCTCGTATTAATGCATATACACTTTTATCAGGATTGTTAACATCTTTTACATCAATTGCTTCACCAACCCATAATGTAATATTAGTATAAATATCATCTAAATATACAGTATATTTAATAGAATTATAATATTTAATATGACATTGAGTAATAATACTACAAGTATTATATACATCTTTATAAATTCTTGTGATTTCAGCCAAAAAATTTTCTACAGAAAGAGTAGTTGATAAACCTTGCTTTTGAACTTTGTATTATTTCCATAATCCATGAACTTGAATATTTTGAAAGTTAGGATGAATAGATGAAATTCCTAATATATTTACTGTAAATTTAAATAAAAAATAAAAATTTTTAAAATTACAAAAGAAAATTATAATATTAAATGTCAGAATTGTTAGCATTTACATCTTCAGTATCAGCTTGTAGTAAAGGAGTTTCAATATACCAACTATTCAATAATTTACATAATTTTGCATCACATGCAACATTAATAAATAAATTATTAACTTCATTATATCTTGTATCTAATCCACCATCTAATAAATATCTCATAGTTTGAAGAGTATTATCACATTTTGAAAAATCCATTAAATATCTTTTTTGTTCGTATGTAAAACAACTCTTTTACATAATCTATGTACTGCTTCTTTTGAAGAAACTGTAGTATTAACCAATGTTCCAAAATTAACTGCAACTTTAGGTAAGTGTCGAAAAATATGAAGATTTGGTAAGCTTGAAAGCATTTCTCCAAAAACCTATTATAGTAAATTAATTATAAATGTATAATTAATTAAATTAGTATATTGTATATAATTAATTTTTTAAGTATACATTGTATTATTAATTTTTAAAATAATTAAAATAATTAAACATTATCTTTAATAATATCTCAGTAACTTGCTTAAGTGTTTTTTCAAAGAAATATAATCATTATATATATCAGTTATAATATATGATAATTTAAATATAGCCTTATACACTTTAGTAATTTTTATCCAACAATCTATAATAATATTTGAAACTTGTGTTTGGTTACCTAAAGAATAATTGTTTTTTCTTATTAATAATTTTAGCCTTATAATGTTTATAATTAATAGCACGAATTAAGATATAAGGCATTATTATAGTAAGGTGTAATGAATTATTCATTCAGTAATTATCTCGATAAGTGATCAGATTTTGTAATCTATTCCATATAGATGGTGTTTCAAATGCTCACCAGGTTTTTACAAATTCTTATGTTCTTCATTATTCATTGATTTAAATATTTCATCAAAAAGACGTCTCACTAAACTTGCTAAACAATGATATAGATCCTGAGGAACTTGTATATATCGATTACGAATAAGATGATCAAGAATATTTTTCTAAGGTAGAGTCCATGCTGTTTTGCTATATTCTCTTAGCAGATTTTGTGGATGCTTATTTGATTTCTTGAAAATAAAAATCTGCGATATGATAATATCTGTCATTTGCTTGAATATCGAAATATATATCATTAAGTTTTCTTGAGTTACTTCACATGTACAACATCTACGGTCTACATTATATCATCAAACTCCTGCCATATCATTGGCTTGTGGTAAATTAGAAGTGCACATACTAAGGCCTCTAGAAACTAACACTCTTTTACTATTGCAATTAGTCATAATAATTCTATCTTGTAATTTTCGCATTTGTTGAATTAATGGTTTGATAAAATCTACAAATTCTGCACCAAACAGGACCAAACCAACTAAAAAATGATTTCTGAGACGTTGTCTCATCAAAAGTGGCATATTTTCAATTTATATATAAAGTCCACCAAGCTTATGGTATGCTTTGCCAAATGTGTCAAAGTCGTCATAGTACAAATCAATAAAGAATTTTAAATTTTATAAGATAGATGAAAAAAATGGTCTTTGTAAATTATACTAACATGGTAATTTATGTCGTTGGTATATTAGCCTAATTTTTGATCGATTATTATATATTTACAGAATTTCTTCGATCTTAAAATCTAATTTGTAGGTTTTGGTAAATCTTCAAGCCAGATTTTAACATGATGAATTACATTTTCTGTATGAATTACTTCCCAATTCTCAGTTAATTATACGGTATTATTTTTGATTGAATTAAATGATTGAATGATCTAACATTACTTAGAAGTTCTGGGTAAATACACAATTTTTTGAATATATAATAATTTTCTTCACTATTCTCGTTTAGTATCACAATACCATTAATTTACCCCAGCCGTTGACTCGCACTTGTCTCATTCTGAATATTATAGAGTATAAAATCTCCAGCTTAATAAGTACTAAAATTGTATTATAAAATAGTTTAGAAAATAAATGATTATAATATTATAAATTATAAATATTACTATTTCTGATTATATGCGATATTTCGTCAAATAGTGGTGATTCTTTTCATATTCGTCTATACCACAACTTTGTCCTTTCTAAAGCTTCAACTCCAAGATCAAAATATAATTTTAAATAAATTGATGGACTGTTAATAATGCATTGAATGGTATCAAGAATAGAAAATGTATAACCTTCTTTAAAAGAAGTAGAGGTAAATGGGGTATTCATCAAATTAATATTAACATTATGACTATTTAAAAACATTAATAGAAGACCACGTTGCATTTATTTTAGTGTTGTGATACTGAGAGAAAGATCGGGTATATGAAAATCAGGATGTCGAAGAATATTTATTAAATCTTGATAAGTGTGAGATCCTACCAATTTGATTTACTAATTATTAATATAAATTATTAATATTTTTTTATAGATATTTATAAAATTACCTATCATGTGTTTCGTATACCAAATAAACATCATTTATTTGGAAAATAAGATCTAGCCTTACCATTATAAGATGTATATCTTGAAGTCCATTATATTGATTTTTAAATTTAAAAGATATATTTTCATTACCATTAACTTCATATTCATTTAGTTCCTCTTGATCATTGTAACTTTTTTGGTCATAGTAACTTTCTTGATCATCATAATTTTCTTGATCATTATAACTTTTTTGACTGTTATTACTATTATATTCTTGAAAATAATTTTCTAATTCGATTTCATTAGAACTGTTTTTCTGAACAGTATTTTGGATATTAGATGATCTAATATCGACTGATGAAGTCAGATTAACATTTGTAAAATTAATCTGCTTAGTCTTTTGATATAAAGAAAATTTATATATATTAGGAATATTGGTATTATGTTTAATAAAAGATTGTCAAACAATTTTTCGAAGATTGACTTTTTTGCCAATTTTTAGACGTATCGCTTATTGCAAATTTACTCCTTGCTTTATTTTAGTTCTAATTTTAATCATGTTAAATAAAGATGGGAACTGTAATTAATATGTTGCAACTTTTAATGTTGCAATTTATGTTGCAATTAGTTCTAACCTATATATGTTGCAACTAATTTTAGCTTATGTTGCAACATTTTGTAAATTTGAAATCAATTGCTGTACCATCTTTAATGTTAAACGAATTTTAATAAAAATCTAATAAAAAACGATAAAATAATTTTTTTTTGTAAAAGAGAATTTTCGCGTAAAAAGTTTAAATTTTATTATACATCCTTTTAGCTAATTTGCAGTTAAAACAACTTAAAATTATTATGATTAATAAGCTAAATATCACTTTACGTCACATATTATTATGAAAAATACTTATCACAGTATAATAAAATGGTTATTAGCACATAATCATACTTGTCTGATATTGATTTGTTAACTTGATTAGTAATACTATAACATCATAATTTTAATCAAATTATATATAAATAATCATTTTTTATATTTTATTACGCGATTCTTTCTTTTTAATTTACAAAATTTTTGAAATTATTTATAATATGCCACCAAAAAAAGACAAGCATTTAAAGTAACTAATATAACGTCTAAAGTAACTACTAAGACTACTCGAAATACTAAAGCTACAAAACCTAATAAAATTCAAGATAATGAGATAAACAAACTTCAATACCTAAAAAGTCTAAAGATATTATGAACATTTCTCAAGTTCAAGAGCGAGAGACTACTGATGATGATGATATATCTATTTATCAGGAAAAAATCTTTGATTATAATCATTTAACATCTAAAAAAATCAAAAGAAATATTAAAAATAATGTTCATCAAACTCAAGAAATTACTAATGATGATGTACCTGTTTATCAAGATGATCATCATAATTAATAATAAGCTTTAAGATACATAAAATCAAAAAAAAAGTTATAGGAATGTTTCTCAACTTCCAGAATTTACTAACGATAAGATATCTGTTCATCAAGATAAAGTTCTAGATTTTAACTTTGATAATGATCTTAAATTTGCTCTTATATCACTACTTTCTAAAAAAACAAAAATAGTGATTTAAAAAATGCACTTGAATTATTACTTTCAAAAGAAAAAACTAAAAAGAGTTATGATCAAATTGAAAATGATTCAACTGACCGATCATTAAATAAAAAAGATTATTTTCATTTAGATTTATCATCAATTGAACCAGCTAATAAAGATTATTATAAAGAATAACAACGTAATCTGAATTTTAATTCATCATCTAAACAACAATAGTTATTACAATTTAAAGATTAAAGAAAATAACCATTTGAATAGTAATTTAATCATGAAAGCTTCTCAAAAAATTGTTACTAATGATCAAATGCAAACAAATAAGTCTAAAAATTACCATCAAGGAGTTAAACATCATCATGATATTAATAATAATCAAGAAACTGATCTCTTACCTGAAATTTCTTTGACAATGGAATCAATAGAGAAATATGCATCTAATAATAAAGAAATTACCAAAGTAAGTTATATTGTTTGTTTTTTTTATAATTGATATTTGTTATTAAATATTTTAATATAGGTTACCAGTGAAAATGTTTTTGACATGTGTGATGAAATGAAGATAATGTTTATACAAAGTCGTAATCCTGACTCAGATGCAATTGCAGCTGTCGCTTAAAATTCTATTACCTAAACAAGGAAAAAATAATGAGAATATAAAATTTTTAAAAGGACGTAGCTTAGAATATATGGCATAACACCGTTCTTATTTTAATTATGACCTTGGCTTTTATGCAGATGAATATATAAAAATAAGTAAGTTTTATCAATATTTTTTTTCGTTATTTAAAAAATGTAAATATGTTAATAATTATTTATATATTAGTATTAATGTTATGCCAAATGAAGACATAATATCATCATATATCACTGATGATTTTTTTAAAAATATTTTTTTCACACAATTGGCTGTTATCAAGGAAGATAAATATTTAAAGATCAAACTATTATCGATCCTTTGAAAAATTTTTAACAAAGGCATTTATGTTACATGTAACACATCTTCTAACAAATTCTGATATGGATAATCATCATACACAAGTAAAAGAGTTGGACCATATAACTAATAATCTGATTATTTCAAATGTAACCCAAAAGAATGCTTCCAACCAGATTAATGTATCAGAAGTAACGCATAGACGTCATACAAGTAGATTGTGCAAATAAATCATATTTGAACATGTTCTTTTAATGTAGTTTGTGTAATACTTTAATTATCTATATTGTAATGCATATTTGATGTAAAGAATTTTAATATCTTTAATGCAATGTTTGTGTAAAGCATGTCAAAATGATTATTTAAAAATGTAATATTGTTAGATATACATGTCAAAATAATAAAGCAAAAAGATAATGATATAATATTTGACAATTATCCTTTTGTAATTATATATAATATTAGTGTTATAATTCAAAATCATATTAATATTAATGTTAACATATATGATAACATGCATAAATATGTTAACATTATAATTATATGTATGGTATAATGATTGCAAAATAATGTCATAAA